TCAGTGTGTGTCTGGGTTATTCATTCAATGTGTGTGTGTTTGTGTCTGAGTTACTGTGATCGCGTTTCCAATTTTCAAGAGTATTTGTTTGACCCGGTTAGAACTCAAGAGACCAGCGCAGTCTCATTCGCAAGTGAGTGAATGCACGACTGTGTGAGTTCGTGAATTAGTGAGTGGGTGAGTCAGTGAGTGGGTGAGTTCGCGAGTGAATCAGTGAGTGGGTGAGTCAGTGAGTGGGTGATCTCGTGAGTGAATAAGTGAGTGAGTTCGTGCGTGAATCAGTGAGTGGGTGAGTCAGTGAGTGGGTGATTTCGTGAGTGAATCAGTGAGTGGGCGAGTCGTTGAGTGGGTGAGTTCGTGAGTGAATCAGTGAGTGGGTGAGTCAGTGAGTGGGTAAGTTCGTGAGTGAATCAGTGAGTAGGTGAGTCAGTGAGTGGGTGAGTTCGTGAGTGAATCAGTGAGTGGGCGACTCAGTAAGTGTGTGATTTCGTGAGTGAATCAGTGAGTAGGTGAGTCGGTGAGCGGGTAAGTTCGTGAGTAAATCAGTTAGTGGGCGAGTCGGTGAGTGGGTGAGTTCGTGAGTGAATCAGTGAGTGGGTGAGTCAGTGAGTGGGTGATTTCGTGAGTGAATCAATGAGTGGGTGAGTTCGTGAGTGGGTGAGTCAGTGAGTGAATCAGTGAGTGGGTGAGTTCGTGAGTGGGCGAGTCAGTCAGTGTGTGAGTTCGTGAGTGAATCAGTGAGTAGGTGAGTCGGTGAGTGGGTAAGTTCGTGAGTAAATCAGTGAGTGGGCGAGTCAGTGAGTGTGTGATTTCGTGAGTGAATCAGTGAGTGGGCGAGTCAGTGAGTGGGTGAGTGAATCAGTGAGTGGGTGAGTCAGTGAGTAGGTGAGTTCGTGAGTGAATCAGTGAGTGGGTGAGTCAGTGAGTAGGTGAGTTCGTGAGTGAATCAGTGAGTGGGCGAGTCAGTGAGTGGGTAAGTTCGTGAGTAAATCAGTGAGTGGGCGAGTCGGTGAATGGGTGAGTTCATGAGTGAATCAGTGAGTGGGTGAGTCAGTGAGTGGGTGATTTCGTGAGTGAATCAATGAGTGGGTGAGTTCGTGAGTGGGTGAGTCAGTGAGTGAATCAGTGAGTGGGTGAGTTCGTGAGGGGGTGAGTCAGTGAGTGGGTGAGTCAGTGAGTGAATCAGTGAGTAGATGAATCAGTGAGTAGGTGAGTTCGTGAGTGGGTGGGTGAGTCAGTGAGTGAATCAGTGAGTGAGTGAGTTCGTGAGTGGGTGAGTCAGTGAGTGAATCAGTGAGTGGGTGAGTTCGTGAGTGGGTGAGTCAGTGAGTGGGTGAGTCAGTGAGTGAATCAGTGAGTGGGTGAGTTCGTGAGTGGGTGAGTCAGTGAGTGGATGAGTCAGTGAGTGAATCAGTGAGTGGGTGAGTTCGTGAGTGGGTGAGTCAGTGAGTGGGTGAGTTCGTGAGTGGGTGAGTCAGTGAGTGAATCAGTGAGTGGGTGAGTTCGTGAGTGGGTGAGTCAGTGAGTGGGTGAGTCAGTGAGTGAATCAGTGAGTGGGTGAGTTTGTGAGTGGGTGAGTCAGTGAGTGGGTGAGTCAGTGAGTGAATCAGTGAGTGGGTGAGTTCGTGAGTGGGTGAGTCAGTGAGTAGGTGAGTTCGTGAGTGAATCAGTGAGTGGGCGAGTCAGTGAGTGTGTGAGTTCGTGAGTGAATCAGTGAGTAGGTGAGTCAGTGAGTGGGTGAGTCAGTGAGTGAATCAGTGAGTGGGTGAGTTCGTGAGTGGGTGAGCCGTTCACGGCCAGTGACGATTATCCGAAGGGGTCTTGGGCTTCCCGCTATGCCGACTCAGCCTCATCATAGCAAGCCGGCGCGGTGTGTTCAACATCGCCACCCGGAGAGACAAAGGCGGCCGGGCGTGGTGCTGACCACCCACCCCGTGGTGCTGCTACAGGCGCTGCCCCTACACGCTAACGGCACTTGCCCCGACATCCTGTTCGAGGCTACCACGGGAGTGGGGATCTTTTGTCTGTGTCGGCGGCTCGCAACCTTCGTCAGCCGGGCGCCGAGTGGATGGCGGTCCGAAGCTCATCACGGTGGCTGCGGGTGGTGGGTCCGCGAGTAGCCGCGGCTCCTTCTCCCGCTGCTTTGGAGGTCCCGCTGGCTGCAGGACCCTGACCCCGAGGCGTCATCATCATCAGTAGCAGCAGCAGCGGCGGCGGCGGTAGCAGCCAGGATCGGGTGACACGCGGCGGGGGGGGGGGGTTGGTGGGGGGGGTCCCGTGCCGTCATCTGGTGCGCGTGCCGCGAGGTGGAGGGGGGGGGGGCTGTGTGTGTGGGGTGTGTGTCACCACGTGTGTGTGTGTCCCCACGTGCGTGTGTGTGTCCACGTGTGTCTGTGTGTCCACGTGTGTGTGTGTCCACGTGTGTGTGTGTGTGTCCACATGTGAGTGTCCACGTGTGTGTGTCCACGTGTGTGTGTCTGTGTCCACGTGTGTGTGTGTGTGTCCACGTGTGTGTGTGGGTGTCCACGTGTATGTGTCCACGTGTGTGTGTGTCCACGTGTGTGTGTGTCCACGTGTGTGTGTGTGTGAAAGAATCAGCATCTTGATTTTGGACTGCAGGAATCCGATGAGCTGTGAAACTCTTTGTTGCACGCACGCCCCAGGCGGGAAGAGTCAAAAGAAGCCGGAACAACGAGCGACGCAAACACCGATAGGAGTGCAACGGTTTATGGAAGTTAAACAAGTCGCGATGAACGAAAAATTGCACAAAATATATAACTTTAAATTGTGTGCAAGCGGTTAGCGCCACGCTGCGCTACGAACCCGGCTATAACCCGAGTTCCATTCCCGCTCACGGCCACCACCACCAGTGACGATTGTCTGAACCTGGTCCTGGGCCTCCCCTAAGTCGACTCAGCCCTCAAACGAGTCCCCGGCACGGTGCGTGGTAAACATCGCCACTGGGGAGACAAAGGCGGCCGGGCGTGGTGTTGGTTTCCCACCCCTCGCCCGTGTACCGCGCCGGCCTTTATAGGTGCGGCTACTCGCTAACAGCACTTGCCCCTACAGTCTGTTAAAGACTGTATGGTGGGGGGGGGGGGGGGGGGGGCTGGGTAGTGGGTGGTAGAGGGTAGTGGGGGGGGGTGGTAGTGGGTGGTAGTGGGTGGCAGTGGGTGGGGGTGGTGGGTGGGGGTGGAAGTGGGTGGTAGTGGGTGGGGGTGGTGGGTAGTGGGTGGTAGTGGATGGGGGTGGTAGTGGGTGGTAGTGGTGGGTAGTGGGTGGGGGTAGAAGTGGGTTGGGGGTGGTAGTGGGTGGTAGTAGGTGGGTGTGTTAGTGGGTGATAGTAGGTGGGGGTGATAGTGGGTGGTAGTGGGTGGGGGTAGAAGTCGGTTGGGGGTGGTAGTGGGTGGTAGTGGGTGGGGGTTGCAGTGGGTGGTAGTGGTAGTGGGTGGTAGTGGGTGATAGTGGGTGGTAGTGGGTGGGGGTGATAGTGGGTGGTAGTGGGTGGGGGTGATAGTGGGTGGTAGTGGGTGGTAGTGGGTGAGGGTGGTAGTGGGTGGTAGTGGGTTGGGGTGGTAGTTGGTGGTAGTGGGTGGGGGTGATAGTGGGTGGTAGTGGGTGGTAGCGGGTTGTAGTGGGTGGGGGTGATAGTGGGTGGTAGTGGGTGGGGGTGGTAGTGGGTGGTAGTAGGTGGTAGTGGGTTGTTGTGGGTGGGGGTGATAGTGGGTGGTAGTGATAGTGGGTGATAGTGGGTGGTAGTGGGTGGGGGTGGTAGTGGGTGGTAGTGGGTGGGGGTGATAGTGGGTGGTAGTGGGTGGGGGTGATAGTGGGTGGTAGTGGGTGGGGGTGGTAGTTGGTGATAGTGGGTGAGGGTGGTAGTGGGTGGTAGTGAGTGGTAGTGGGTTGTATTGGGTGGGGGTGGTAGTGGGTGGTAGTGATAGTGGGTGATAGTGGGTGGTAGTGGGTGGGGGTGGTAGTGGGTGGTAGTGAGTGGTAGTGGGTTGTTGTGGGTGGGGGTGATAGTGGGTGGTAGTGATAGTGGGTGGTAGTGGGTGGGCGTGATAGTGGGTGGTAGTGGGTGGGGGTGATAGTGGGTAGTAGTGGGTGGTAGTGGGTGAGTGTGGTAGTGGGTGGTAGTGGGTGGGGGTGATAGTGGGTGGTAATGGGTGGGGGTGGTAGTGGGTTGGGGGTGGTAGTGGGTGGTAGTAGGTGGGGGTGGTAGTGGGTGGTAGTAGGTGGGGGTGATAGTGGGCGGTAGTGGGTGGGGGTAGAAGTGGGTTGGGGGTGGTAGTGGGTGGTAGTGGGTGGGGGTGGTAGTGGGTGGTAGTGGGTGGTAGTGGGTGATAGTGGGTGGTAGTGGGTGGGGTGATAGTGGGTGGTAGTGGGTGAGGGTGATAGTGGGTGGTAGTGATAGTGGGTGGGGGTGGTAGTGGGTGGTAGTGGGGGTGGTAGTGGGTGGTAGTGGGTGGGGGTGGTAGTGGGTGGTAGTGGGTGGGGGTGGTAGTGGGTGGTAGTGGGTGGGGGTGGTAGTTGGTGGGGGTGATAGTGGGTGGTAGTGGGTGGTAGCGGGTTGTAGTGGGTGGGGGTGATAGTGGGTGGTAGTGGGTGGGGGTGGTAGTGGTTTGGGGGTGGTAGTGGGTGGTAGTAGGTGGGGGTGGTAGTGGGTGGTAGTAGGTGGGGGTGATAGTGGGTGGTAGTGGGTGGGGGTAGAAGTGGGTTGGTAGTGGGTGATAGTGGGTGGTAGTGGTAGTGGGTGATAGTGGGTGGTAGTGGGTGGGGGTGATAGTGGGTGGTAGTGTGTGGGGGTGATAGTGGGTGGTAGTGGGTGGGGGTAGAAGTGGGTTGGTAGTGGGTGATAGTGGGTGGTAGTGGTAGTGGGTGATAGTGGGTGGTAGTGGGTGGGGGTGGTAGTGGGTGGTAGTGGGTGGTAGCGGGTGGGGGTGATAGTGGGTGGTAGTGGGTGGGGGTGGTAGTGGGTGGTAGTGAGTGGGGGTGTTTCCGCCGCGGGCCGCCATAGAAAGCGGCACGCTTCGCTGAACCTCCACGGCACAAGCAGCAGCGAGCACGCGGAGCGGACACGGCGGAGCGGCACGGCTCCCGTGCAGGTGAGAGAGGCGAGACTGCACGCGCACCAAAGACAAAGGTGTCCCCGCACCCACCCCAACGCGCCCGGGTAGCCTTCTTGCCCGAGAGGGTAAAGCCTATTCATTTTTCATCACCTTCAACAGGCGGTTTAGGCTCTCATCACGTCCTAAAGTCGCACCTGTGTCTATCGCTGCTGTCCCTGCTACTCATGCCGTGGTTGACTGTTCGTTGATTCCACCACCAACCACACTGGTGACAACACTCACCCACTCACTCACCCACTCACTCACCCGCCCACCCACTCACTCACCCACGCACTCACCCGCTCACTCATTCACTCACCCACTAGTTTAACCACTCACTCACCCACCCACTCATTCACTCACCCGCTCACTCACTCACGCACTCACCCGCTCACTCACTCACTCGTCTAACCACTCACTCACCCACTCGCTTGTTTAACCACTCACCCATTCACTCACCCACGCACTCACCCGCTCACTCACTCACTCACCCACTCACTCACCCACTCACTCACCCACACACTCACTCACTGACCCACTCACTCACCCACACACTCACCCGCTCACTCACTCACTCACCCACACACTCACCCACACACTCACCCACTCACTGACCCACTCACTCACACAGATATCACTCGCTGCTCTGTCCCGTTTTCGGAAAAATCGTAGCGCAGTCGGAGTAGGAATTGCTCTGAGCAGTGCACGTGTACATAGTGTCGTGAGCAGTGCCGGTAGTGCACGTGTACACGTGGTGTGTGGTGTCGTGAGCAGTGTCGGTAGTGCACGTGTACACGCGGTGCGTGGTGCTCGGAACAGTGCCGGTAGTGCACGTGTACACGTGGTGTGTGGTGTCGTGAGCAGTGCCGGTAGTGCACGTGTACACGTGGTGTGTGGTGTCGTGAACAGTGCCGGTAGTGCACGTGGTGCGTGGTGCTCTGAGCAGTGCCGGTAGTGCACGTGTACACGTGGTGTGTGGTGTCGTGAACAGTGCCGGTAGTGCACGTGTACACGAGGTGTGTTGTGTTCTGAGCTGTACCGGTAGTGCACGTGTAGACGTGGTGTGTTGTGCTCTGAGCAGTGCAGGTAGTGCACGTGTACACGTGGTGTGTGGTGTCGTGAGCAGTACACACACACACACGTACAGAGACTAACACACACACACAAAGATCCCTCGTGTAGCCTGTAACAGACTGTAGGGGGCAAGTGCTGTTAGCGAGCACCTATGAAGGCCGGCACGGCACACGAGGGGGTGGGTGGCCAGCACCACGCCCGGCCGCCTTTGTCTCCCCAGTGGCGATGTTCACACACCGCAGCAGGTACTTATTTGAGGCTGAGTCGATCGAGGAGAGGTCCACAACCGCGGTTCAAATATAATCGTCACCTGGTGCTGCCCGTGAGCGGGAATGGAACTCGGGTCAGCCGGGTTCGTAGCGTAGCGCGCTAACCGCTGTCCCACCACTCCCCATTTCAACATCACCACCGCCATTGCCATCACCACCACCACCATCATCATCATTATCGTCATCGTCCCTCCTGTCTCTCTCTCTCTCTGTGTATGTTTATTATGGAAGGCAGCTTAATTGAGATCTCCTCTCCTAATTGAGGCGAAGTTTACATTGGCAGAGTCGCCAGGAAGCCACCCCGCTGGCAGACGACGCGAGACGCTGGGCCAGCGGAGCGAGACACACGGACACGTGCTGGTGGTGGTGCTGGTGGTAGTGCTGGTAGTGCTGGTGGTGGTAGTGCTGGTAGTGGTGGTGATGGTGGTGATGGTGATGCTGGTGGTGGTGATGGTGATGCTGGTGGTGATGGTGGTGGTGGTGGTGGTGATGGTGGTGATGCTGGTGGTGGTGATGGTGGAGGTGCTGGTGGTGGTGGTAGTGCTGGTAGTACTGGTGGTGGTGCTGGTGGTAGTTCTGGTGGTGCTGGTGGTGATGGTGGTGCTGGTGGTGGTGCTTGTGGTGGTGCTGGTGGTGATGCTGGTGGTGGTGCTGGTGGTAGTGCTGGTGGTAGTGCTGGTGGTGGTGGTAGTGCTGGTGGTGATGCTGGTGGTAGTGTTGGTGGTGATGGTGGTGCTGGTGGTGGTGCTGGTGGTGGTGCTGGTGGTGGTAGTGGTAGTGCTGGTGGTGGTGCTGGTGGTAGTGCTGGTGGTGATGGTAGTGCTGGTGGTGGTGCTGGTGGTGGTGGTAGTGGTAGTGCTGGTGGTGGTGCTGGTGGTAGTGCTGGTGGTGATGGTGGTGCTGGTGGTAGTGCTGGTGGTGGTAGTGCTGGTGGTGGTGCTGGTGGTAGTGCTGGTGGTGGTGGTGCTGGTGGTGGTGCTGGTGGTGGTGCTGGTGGTAGTGCTGATGGTGGTAGTGGTAGTGCTGGTGGTGGTGCTGGTGGTAGCGCTGGTGGTGATGGTGGTGCTGGTGGTGGTGCTGGTGGTGGTGCTGGTGGTAGTGCTAGTGGTGGTGGTGGTGATGGTGGTGGTGCTGGTTGTGGTGCTGGTGGTGGTGCTGATGGTGCTGGTGGTGGTGCTGGTGGTGCTGGTGGTGGTGCTGGTGGTGCTGGTGGTGCTGGTGGTGGTGCTGGTGGTGCTGGTGGTAGTGGTGGTGGTGCTGCTGGTGGTGCTGGTGCTGGTGGTGGTGGTAGTACTGGTGGTGCTGGTGGTGCTGGTGGCGCTGGTAGTAGTGGTGATGCTGCTGGTGGTGCTGGTGATGGTGGTAGTAGTGGTGGTGCTGGTGGTACTGGTGGCGGTGGTAGTAGTGGTGCTGCTGGTGCTGGTGGTGGTATAGTGGTGGTGGTGCTGGTGGTATAGTGGTGGTGGTGGTGGTGCTGGTGGTATAGTGGTGTTGGTACTGGTGGTATAGTGGTGGTGGTAGTGGTGGTGGTGGTATAGTGGTGGTGGTGGTGGTAGTGTTAGTGGTGGTGGTAGTGCTGGTGGTGGTGGTGGTGCTGGTGGTGGTGCTGGTGGTGGTGGTGATAGTGGTGGTGCTGGTGGTGGTGGTGATGCTGCTGGTGGTGGTGGTAGTGGTGGTGCTGGTGCTGGTGGTATAGTGGTGGTGGTGGTATTGCTTGTGGGGAAGGAAGCCCCTCGCCTCGCCCGAGGAAACGAAACGTTCAGGCCAACAACGTTCATTCCAGCAGGTTTTCCAACCACATGCCAACGTTCGTCAAACGTCGGACAAACGTTGGCTTAACTGTTCCAACCAAATGCTGCACCTCCGATGAGCACGGTTGGCTACTTACTGTGCGAAAGAAGTTCAGCATACATACTTGATAACACGTTAGTTCAACGTTGGGCCCAATGTTGGTCCAACAAATTACCACCGCATGCCAACGTTGGCTCAACGTTGGTTCAAACGTTGGGCTCAACGTTGGGTCCAAGAAGTTGGCATGCGAACGTTGGCTCAACGTTGGTTCAACGACGTTGGGCCCATCGTTGGGTCCAAGAAGTTGCCACCAAATCCCAAAGTCCAACGTTATTGCGCAACAACGTTGGCACATAGATACCCACAGAGACTCATAGAGACCCACAGAGACTCATAGATACCCACAGAGACTCATAGGGACCCACAGAGATCCAGACTCATAGAGACCCACAGAGACTCATAGATACCCACAGAGATCCAGACTCATAGAGACCCACAAAGACTCATAGATACCCACAGAGATCCAGACTCATAGAGACCCACAGAGATCTAGACTCATAGAGACCCACAGAGATCCAGACTCATAGAGACCCACAGAGTTCCAGACTCATAGAGACCCACAGAGACTCATAGATACCCACAGAGATCGAGACTCATAGAGACCCACAGAGATCCAGACTCATAGAGACCCACAGAGATCCAGACTCATAGAGACCCACAGAGTTCCAGACTCATAGAGACCCACAAAGACTCATAGATACCCACAGAGATCCAGACTCATAGAGACCCATAGAGATCCAGACTCATAGAGACCCAAAGAGATCCAGACTCATAGAGACCCACAGAGACTCATAGATACCCACAGAGATCCAGACTCATAGAGACCCAAAGAGATCCAGACTCATAGAGACCCACAGAGACTCATAGATACCCACAGAGACTCATAGAGACCCATAGAGATCCAGACTCATAGAGACCCACAGAGATCCAGACTCATAGAGACCCACAGAGACTCATAGATACCCACAGAGATCCAGACTCATAGAGACCCAAAGAGATCCAGACTCATAGAGACCCACAGAGACTCATAGATACCCACAGAGATCCAGACTCATAGAGACCCACAGAGATCCAGACTCATAGAAACCCACAGAGACTCATAGATACCCACAGAGATCCAGACTCATAGAGACCCACAGAGTTCCAGACTCATAGAGACCCACAGAGACTCATAGATACCCACAGAGATCCAGATGCATAGAGACCCACAGAGATCCAGACTCATAGAGACCCACAGAGATCCAGACTCATAGAGACCCACAAAGACTCATAGATACCCACAGAGATCCAGACTCATAGAGACCCACAGAGACTCATAGATACCCACAGAGTTCCAGAATCATAGAGACCCACAGAGACTCATAGATATCCACAGAGATCCAGACTAATAGAAACCCCCAAAGACTCATAGATACTCACAGAGATCCAGACTCATAGAGACCCACAGAGATCCATACTCATAGAGACCCACAGAGACTCATAGATACCCACAGAGATCCAGACTCATAGAAACCCTCAGAGATCCAGACTCGTAGATACCCACAGAGATCCAGACTCATAGGGACCCACAGAGATCCAGACTCGTAGAGACCCACAGAGATCCAGACTCATAGAGACCCACAGAGATCCAGACTCATAGAGACCCACAAAGACTCATAGATACCCACAGAGTTCCAGACTCATAGAGACCCACAGAGATCCAGACTCATAGAGACCCACAGAGACTCATAGATACCCACAGAGATCCAGACTCATAGAGACCCACAGAGATCCAGACTCATAGAGACCCACAGAGACTCATAG